CAGTTAGTTACAGTGTGGGCTCCATGCTTACTCTGACAGCTTGTCGCACCATCACAAAGGGGCCGGGCTTAGAGAAAGGTCATTTGGTTTCCCCTGATCAGGGCATGCTAGCAGAGGGGAGCAGTGAGAATTTTTGCTCCACACTCATGAAGCAGTTTATTCCATTTGCTCCCAGCCTCAAAGCTGCTCCAGGTCACTTCACTCAAGCTGGTCACCGCTTGCTTAGTTTCCTGTTGAATGTACTTTGTTAACTCTGTTGTCAAGCAGCAGCCGATTCGACAGGAAATAGTGTCTGTGCACAATACACAGAGGCATTCTGGGTCGGCATGATTCAAACTCATGTTGTGAGCGGTACCACAGTGAAATTTGCAACAGGATTGAGTGGGAGATATAGTGTCGCTACAACTTTTTTAAAAATCTACTCTGTGCTGCATCCAAAAGTCGTTACGCTAGCACTTCCCACTCACTCCCTCGTAATATTGACTTTAGTAGTTTTCATTAGTTTCTATTTTATTACATTTTTAATTTAAGTTTCAATTCAGTTTAGTTTAAGTTCGTTTCCAGGGTGGGATTACTCATTTCAGTTTTTATTGTTTAAAAATGTTTAGTTTTACTTTAGTTTTTATTAGTTTAAGTATTATTTTCAAGTGTTTTTTTTTCATGATGATATAGCGGGATTTGTCAGGGGAAATTTCCTGTATATTTTTATTTATTATAGTTATTTTTGTAAGAACACAATATCATTTCAGTTTTCTTTTCTACAAAAGTCTACATGTTATTTTTATTCCATTTAAAGGTTCACTCCCAGACAACATTTGCAAGTGGGGCTCATGTGGGTAGTAAATGGGCTGAAAAATGGGCCCTATATGGGATTGGCCCCATGCCAATTGCTCACATGGATGGGTTTACTCAAATGGGCCATACATGGGTTATGCTAGAGCTACCTGGGTACCAAGAGGGCATGGGCCCAACATGGGGATCTTATCTGGAGCCCACTTTGGTAAAATCAACCATGTGGGCAATCAGCATGGGGCCATTGTAGCACCTGTGGACAATCCCATATAGGGCCCATTCCTCAGCCTGTTTACAACCCATATGGGCCCCACATAGAAATGCTGATTGTAGGTTACTGTTTGTAAACACACTCACCAGTGGAAGTGAAAGTGAAGCCAACCCAAAATTCATTCTCATTTGGTGTTTCGCCTCACTGTGTTAGCATCTTTTTTGGCAATGTGTCTCTTGGATGCCTGCTGCTTACGGTCTGGCACCTGATCGCTACCTTTATATTAAGTCCTGACATCACCTGAGCGCTGTGGGGGAACATGCCCATAAACGTCCCGATCACAAAAAAATAAAAAAATAGAGGCAGAAGGCAGAGTCTTCGCAGATAAATACACTGTCACACACTTCTACTGGGTCATAAGTGATGACTGAGAGGGATTATTTCTCTGTGAGTTTATACATGCTTTTTTCACTGATTTTTTTATACCTAGTATTAATTTTAAGTTTAGTTTTATTCAGCTTTAATAACCTTGCTCAGCTCATATACTCTGCCCCCAACTGGGCCAAAGTCCCGCCAGATCAGTTGTCGTTTGACGTTCATCTTTTGTCTCGACAGCTGATCAATTTCCCAGTCAATCAGCAATCTGGCTTTTGGACACTCAAGCTGTTTCTGACATGACAGAAATACATCTGAGTACTTCTGCGGTTTGATTTCCCACATGGCTGCTGTCAAAATATCAATTTTAAAAAGTAGCAAGATGGTTTAATTATCAGAGTTGTATTTTACAAGTTGTGGTTAATTGCAGCCTTGACAAAACATAGAAGTAATAAATTGATGCTTTGACAGTCTGCTGGGGGAATATATGAAAATGAAACTTTAATAGCTTTTGGCCTGTTGTCAATAAAGTTTTCTTTCTTTCTGTGTCTTTTTCTCCAGGTCCAAGGGTTGGAGAAGCAGGTGGAGTTCTCAGACCTGCGCCCTGTGGGGTCGGTGATGAAGACTCTTCCATACGGCATGGGTGGAGGGACGGCGGGAGGATCGACAGGGGGAGTGGTTAAGCCTCCATACCAAACGCGTATCTTCTCCACATCCATTGATCAGACACCCATGAAATCCAAGCCACCCACCTACAGTTTCTTTAACCCATATGACACGGCCCGGAACCAGTCCCTGCTCTTGGACCAGACAGGATACCGCTCTAAGCGCAAGCCCTCGCTAAAGACAGCCATGAAGACCAAGAAGATCTTCGGCTGGGGAGACTTCTACTTCAACGTCAAGACCATGAAGTTCAGCTTGTTGGTGACGGGGAAGATTGTGGACCACATCAACGGGACGTTCACTGTCTACTTCCGCCACAACTCGTCCAGCCTGGGGAACGTCTCGGTCAGTATCGTGCCGCCGACCAAAGTGGTGGAGTTCGAGGTCCTCCAGCAGCAGCAGCTGCACCCCCACACCCAGCAAGAAGTCCAGATCCAGGAGACCCAGCAGTCCACCATCGACCCCAAAGAGACAAAGACCTTTAACTGTCGGGTGGAGTACGAGAAAACCAACAGGTCCAAGAAGCCCAAACCCTGCCTGTACGACCCGTCTCAGACCTGCTTCACAGAGCACACCCAGTCCCACGCCGCCTGGCTCTGTGCCAAACCCTTCAAGGTGATCTGCATCTTCATCTCTTTCTTCAGCATCGACTACAAGCTGGTTCAAAAAGTGTGTCCGGACTACAACTTCCAAAGCGAGCACCCTTACTTTGGATAAGTAAGAGAGGCTGAACTGCAAAGAGAAAAAAAAAGAGACAATGTTAATGACGACGATTATAATGATAAGGATGGGAATCATAGTCATATTGATTACGATGAAGACGCAGGGGACAGTTTTTTTGCCTCTAAACTGCTGTGAATTGTGGATTTAAATCAAGTATAATCAGAGTTATGGATGGTTAGGATATGGCTGATTTCTCTGACTTATTTTCCAACTTTGTATTCGTTAACTTCTGTTTTTATTTGCTTTTTTTCCTGTAAATAATGTACTCAACCTCAGCACACTTATTGTTTTTAGATATTTGTTTCTCAGTGTTATTACTTTTTGGAGTTGGAGAATTCGGTTGATAACAGCTGGAGTCAGTATTATGCCCTCCGAGTACAAAGGGAGCCTCTGAGGCGGCTGTGCCATCACTGTATGGCAGACGTAATGTTATGGTAGACTGACTGTTAATCATCCTCTCAGCTCTACGTCTCTAACCCTGGATATAAGAGAGTTATATGTATGAGAAATGCTATGCTGGATATGCATACAATATACTGTATGAAAAAGCACATTAAAATCTCTTTAAACTGTCTTTTACTGGGTGAATGTTTTCGTTGAGAGCCACGAGCACAATTGTGGGGCACAAGCTGTGCAGCACATTCACGTTATCTAACTCAGCGAGGACACTGTTATGAATTAAGTTACATTTCACTCTGATTGGGAACTCATGCCTGAGCTTTCTGTGAAGATATGTCATTTTAATTTTCTGAAACATATTGAAGGAAAGGATTGAATTTTAACATGAAAACCAACCGTGAAACATTCTTAAGATGGTGATAATGTTTGACTCCTTTTGAGAGAGTTGGTATGTACAATAATTGAATCCGAGGGAGGTTTCTGATATAACGTTTAATTACATTTACCCTGAAACTGAAGGGAAAAATAACTGTTGTGTCGGAGGTAATGTGACTGACAGATTTGTGTCTGTTTGATCGTGCCAGCGCAGGAAGTATTGCCCATCTGAGCAAGCATTTTTCAGCTGCAGCAGGTGGCTTCCTCACCATTATTGACTGCTGTATTACTGCTGCCACTGTTATAATCTCAGCTACCTGATAATATTTACTTTATCATCGCTTTCTTTATGCTAAAAATATGAGCTTCTGGAAAAATGAAGCTGGATAGTGTCACTGTTGCTAAATATATTCACGCATGCAGATTAGAAGTTAAAACTGAAAGCATCAATAAACTCACCCACCTCTTCTTCATTAAATTAAACACACCCGAAACACCTCCGCCGTGCGAATATCTCAGTCTGTCGCTCCTCTTCCTCGTTTACAAACTACCCTTTTTTCCTCTCCCAGCATCAGAGTCGTTGGCTCTTTGCTCCCCACACTTCTGATCTGACGATAATGGTGCTCAGAATTTCATTAGAAAACACACAGTCGATGCTAATTGAATCTTCATCTCACCGTGGCTCGATACCCTATTATGCTTTTGATCAATGACGTTGAGATGGAGGTCCAGGGAGATCCATGTATCTTACACTGGTTGCTGTGGATAGTCGGAACACAGAGATTGATGGAGTCGCCGCAACCCAGTTTCTCTGGAGTTCCCCTCTGTGTTACACAGATTGTCTACAGTGGGCAGGTGAAGGATCACTGGACAAGTTGCTGTGGACGGATCCTTATGTTCTCCTGTGTTGGTGTCCATATACATGTGGCTGTGTGTGTGTTCAGATATATTTCCCAGAATTTACATTTTCAATCAACTACAAAAGACAATGGGGGTGTAAATCACCAGTTTCATCACGATACAATAAATCGATTCTTTGAACAATGATATGATATTTGTCAAAATCACAAAGTCTGCCACATTTCTATTCAGTAGCATTAATGGGCCTGCGATCGATATGACATGATATCATCTTCCCATTTCACAAAATCAATTACAGGAGAACAAACTCTAAACATGAATGGTTGTCTGTCTCTATGTGTCAGCCCTGTGATAGTCTGGCGACCTGTCCAGGATGAACCCCGCCTGTTGCCCAGTGTCAGCTGGGATAGGCTCCAGCCCCTTTGCGACCTCTGACAGGATAAGAGGTTACAGAAAATTAATGAATGAGTTACAGAAGAAGCTGCCATACCTTTCTTCTTTTGCTTTTGGCCATAAAAGATAAAAACACTACATAGATAATTGTAAAAGTTTACTTTAAACTGATTCCACTAACACACTTAAAACAGCACATGAGATAAGTTAACCTTCAGTGCTCTCTGACAAAAAGACCTTTTCTGAAAGAAATGTTTTCATTTTAACCCAAACTATCATCTTTTTCCTAAAACATCAGGTCTATCTGTCTCAAAGCCCTGAAGACAAAACAGCCATAAAACATAAATTAACAACATAATTTAACAAAATTATCAAATTCAGGACAGTAATAACTCAAGGTTTTTTTCCTGTCACCCATCATTAGCAAAAGCACCTTTACACTGCATAAATTAGCCTAGCAGCTAGTGGAGTTTTCCTCTACTCATAGCTTCACAAATTGCATGTATCATTTATACTTTTTATTATTCACCATTTAGTTTAAGTCACTGCATCTCCTGACAGAACAGCTCAGCTGAATTTTAGCCGGCATGCAGGTGTTTTTTTTTTTTGTTTTTTTTTAGCCCAACGTTGTTGAAACGGAGTATCTAATTTACTGTAGTGAGAAGTTAGCGGAATGCCCGACCAGGCAGGTAACATTACGTCCTGTTTTATCTCATGACAGCATAGTTTACATACGACATGTGTTTTGTCTGTTGACCCCTAATTTCCTCAAAATTGAAAATTTTTCTTCACTGCTGATTGATTCCAGAGTAATTAACTGATTAACTTCATTATTAACTTCATTATCATTTTTCTTGGCTGCTTGCCGACGGCCTGCTGCTGTTTAACAGTGACGCGGAATTTCAAAATAAAGGCATGAATAAAAAATTAAGATATGCCTCGATGTTTTCATTTTGCAACTATAATATTGGATTGTTGATCATTGAATCGATATATCAATCCAGATCAATGGATTGTTAAAGCCCAAAAAGAAAGTTCACTATAGTACGACAATGCTTGTATTAAAAAGTAACTAATAATAATAATAATAATAACTTTATTTATAAAGCACTTTTTGAAAACAGATTTTACAAAGTGTTAAAAAAACAAAGCAAAGCAGAAGCAAGAAACCCCAGAGACAATATAACGATAGAAGCCAAATAATTATGCCAAACTAAGGCCAAACAGAAATTAAGGCAGAATTAAACAAGAGATCAGAGGCAAAAACATATTAGACAGAAGAAACAAAGGTGGAAGTTACAAACACACACAAAAAAGGTAAATACAATAATAAAAGTGGCGAACACAGAATATTAATAAAGAATATTAAGCAGCATGTAACAACACCACTTTACTTTAATCACTGACTCTGTGGTACAACTGCATAGACAATGCAGTGTAATGACAGGAACACTTTTGAGATACTGGACCTAATAAGTGAAAATGGGTCCAAAATTATTTTGAACATCAGATTTCTGATACCTTTGGAGAAAAAAACTTAGGGCTGAAAATTAGTTTTAAAAAAAGAAAAAGATGATGTTATGTGCCACATGCTTCTCCTAATCCTGACGTGTAAATGAACTGGTGTCTCAGACTGACAGCACGCAATAGTTGACACTGTCATAAACACATATGGTGATACATGTAAAAAAAAAAAAAAAAACCTCTTTCAACTTCTAGTATGGGAAAATGTTTAATCATGAGGCAACACCAGTTAGAAATTAAATATTAACTATCTCATGCTCATTTTCAGGTTCATACTTGCTACATGCTTTAATGTAAAAAAAACACCTTACTTTTCTCACACTGTCACCTGAATATACCTGATTTCACCCTCTGTCTCTAACGCTCCAAGTTAGCACCAGTCTCCTTAAGCCCCCTCACGAAAAAGCCCAGTCTGCTCCGATTGGTCAGTGTTTCCGGGTCTTCCACACCTGCAGCAGCAGTTTCTACCTTTACCTAATACACTTGTCACATCATAACTTCAGAGAAACTGTGACGACTCAGTCTCTGTGGATCGAGCACTTTGATACATTCACAGTATTTATAAAGCACCTAATTTATAATGAAAGCGACATGGAAATCTAAACTTTTTTATATCATGGGACCTTTAAATCCAGAACATTATTCTTGAGATATTATGTTGCCAAAGGTTTTCATGCTTCCCCCAAACAATCCATCCATCCATTCTCATCCGCTTATCCAGGGCCGGGGTCACGGGGGCAACAGGCCAAGTAAAGCACCCCAGACATCCCTCTCCCCAGCAACGCCTTCCAGCTCCTCCTGGGGGACCCCAAGGTGTTCACAGCCCAGATGAGATATGTAATCCCTCCAGTGTGTTCTGGGTCTGCCCCGGGGCCTCCTACCAGTGGGACGTGCCTGGAACACCTCTAACGGGAGGCACCCAGGAGGCATCCTGATCAGATGCCCGAACCACTTCAACTGACCCCTTTGGACGCAAAGGAGTAGCGGCTCTACTCTGAGCTCCCTCCTGATGTCCGAGGCTGAGCCCTGCTACCCCACAGAGGAAACTCATTTCAGCCGCCTGCATCCGCAGTCTCATTCTTTCGGTCACTACCCAGAGCTCATGACCACAGGTGAGGGTTGGGACGTAGATGGACCAGTAAATCGAAAGCTTCGCCTTCAGGCTCAGGTCCATCTTCACCACAACGGACCAAACCGCTGATCGATCTCATGCTGCATTCTTACCCGACCCCGAGACACTTGAACTCTCTCACTTGAGGCAGTAACTCTCCCCAAACCCGGAGGCGGCATTCCACCGGTTTATGGCAGAAAACCATGGCCTCAGATTTGGAGGTGCTGACTCTCATACCAACTGCGTCACACTCGACTGCCCCAGTGCATGCTGGAGGTCATGGTGTAATGAAGCCAACAGAACCACATCATCTGCAAAAAGCAGAAATGCAGTTCTGAGGTCCCCAAACTGGACCCTTCCTTCCCCTCTTTCATTAATCCATTTTCTTTATGATAGATTATCTATTTATTTTTTTATGATTTGTTTTATCAGTAAAGTGATAGTAGATGTAGGGTGTATGGCAGGAAATGAGAGGCAACTGTCTCTGCCTGAACTTAAACCTGGGACAATGCCAATCATAGTTGGCACTTTAACCCCCGACACCACCAAGGTTCCTCCACTTATTTCTACTGTGGGACAAAAGGATGTGGTGCCTTTCTTCAGCATTCATTGGGCTGATGACAAAAAGCTCAGCGCACTAGGAACAGTTTGAACAGAGACTGACAAACAAAGTCACCCTGATAGTCATGGGGTTGTTTTTTGAAAATTTAAAGTCACACTCGACCCAACTTGTCTTGTGTTGTCTTGGGAGACAAACAGGTCACCAGAGGAGCACAGGAAGCATCCAAACTCCACAAAGGGAGCGTCGGGGGCTGAGACTCAAGCTGTCAACCTTCTTACTCTGAAGCACAAGTGTCTAAATCTGTTAAAACTGTCTGCTCAACACTCAGGAACCTCCCTCCGCAAGTTTC